CAATTGCTAAAATAAGTAAAGTTAGAAAGACACATATCTGTTTCTAAAAATACAAAACTTTCTAAATATTCCATTGCGTATAACTCACAAATTGGTATAAGAGCTAATCTCTACGCACTAAGTTGATTCTTGTGGAAAGTTTTGATTGATTTCAAAATTTTGTTTTCATCTTGTCTTATGCGTTCAAAGAAAGTCGTTCTAATCAATGTGATCCTTTATTTGACAGGACCAATTATAACTTTTGGAAATCAAAGATGAGGGAGTATTTGCAAAATTTAGGAGGTAAAACTTAGGCTATTGTTTTTATCTGGTTATGCATTACCTGCAGAAGATAAAACTGTGGATGGTAAAGAAATCAAAGTTTTGAAAGATACCTTTATTTTTACTACTGTTGAAACTGAGCGTAATGATGCTAATGAAAAAACTTTATATGCAATTATTAATTCTGTTATTCAATCTGAATATGTTATAATTTCTGATTGTAAAACTATTAAAGATGCTCGGGATATTTTGCAGGTCACTCATGAAGGGATTTCAAAAGTGAAGTTATCCAAAATTCAAATGCATTCTCATAACGTTAGGAACATTGTGATGAAAAAAGACAAATTATTTTCTGATTTTTATTCTAGTATTCTTGAAATTAGTTATGAACTGTGTCATTTTGGTAAAAGGGTTAGTGAAAAGAAAATATATGAAAAAATCTTAAGGTCTTTACCTAAAAAATTTCAAATAAGGGTAGAAACTATAATTAAACATTGGGATTTGTCAATCTCGAAAGTTGATGAAGTTGTAGGTTCATTGAAAAATTTTGAGATGCAGAATTTTGATTTAAATCATAAGGAAAAGAATCTTGCTTTAGAATCAACACAGGTTGAGAATTTTGTCGATGACAATTCTAATGATGATTTTGTTTTTTCTGTCTAGGCAATTCAATCAGATTTTACAAAGATAATAGAGGAGAAGGAATGACAATGGAGCTAATCTTCAAAATTTTGACATGGGGTCAAAATTTGAGATTTAATGTAAAGAAAGTAGAAGAGTCAAAAGAAACCAAATTCACTTGCTGGAGTTGTGGTGGCAAAGGTTACGCATCTAATATTTGTCCTAGTCTTAAAAACGATCAAAAGTTAACCACCCAAAAATTCATTTCAAACTCTTCTTGAACAGAAGAAGCTGAGGAGGAGAGAGATGAGTTCCAAGAGTTAGTCTAGTGTAACGACCCAAAAATTCTAACACAATAATCATCAAATTACATAAAAAATCTTCCAGAATAAAAAATAAAAACAACCTCCATAATACAAAAGATCCCCAAACATATAAGAATTCAAAGTCCTAAAATACATGTCTAAATAATCTCCAAATAGACATAAAAATTCTGCAACACAGCTCCACCCCTAAGCTTGAAACTAGGAATCCCTGATCCTCTACGGTACCTGAAACTGGAGGGTGGTGAGACGGAAAGTCCAAGTAAGAAAAATCATAACAAGAATTTCAAGGAGCTTTAATGAAAATTAGCTTCATAAAATATTCATATGCTTTTGAATAAAAATACATATATGCAATTTGAGCAAAATAATAGTCTAACAAAATATTTGAAGTAAAATCACCCCAAACCATTTAAGATATAGAGAACCCTACCCATAAAAGTAATTTTCCTCACTGGTTCTACAAAATTTCAAACTCTCAGCCTTCTCTGCATCTCTCGGCCCTATTTAAACTCAATCTTTACTTTCCTCTAACTTTTTCCAGCCCGTCCCATTTTTCTTCTTTTAATTTCTTTGCCTCCCTAGACAGTATCTCACCCGTCAAACAATATAGACACACACACACACACACACACATAATATGTGACTAAACCAAAATCGACCTTCTGTGTAAATCATTGTTATCAAAATCGCGATTCTGAGTCGTAGAATCGCACGATTCTACGACTCAAAACTCAAAATTGAGTCAAATCGTAGCAGAATCGCTCAATTGGTAAAATCGGGGGCAGAATCGGTAGAATTGGGGGTAGAATCGTAGAATCAGAGGTAGAATCGTACGATTCTACCCGATTCTACCGATTTTACAAAATTGGTTGTTTGGGCCTTTATTTTTGGGCTTTTTTTTATTTTTTGGTTGGTTTCTTCTGGGCTACAAAATAAAAGACGTCTGGCCCAAGTATAGTATACAAAGTTAAATATTTATTCTATAAAATATAAATTATTTTTCATTAGTGGCAAAAAAAGAAATATATATATGTATATATATCAATTATTTTTACTATGCATGTCGATGTTCCATAATATATTTTTGTGTTTAATTATAAAAAATTAAAAAGATCAATTATATCTCAAGGATGCATACTTGTGACTAATAGGTTTAGGCAAATTTTGGTTTCATGATCAATATTTTCATTTGCCTAATTTTTTTTTTTTTTGAAGGCTTATCATATATATTAAAAATTAAAAATAATTTAAAAGCTTAAAAGACTTACCGGATATGCGAGCCATGGTATAATCTTATAGTCTAAACTGATAATATAATAAGATTGAGTTAACACGTGGTTCATTAATTTGTTGTGTTAACTCTTGATTAATTTCATACTTGTGACTAATAAGGTCACATACACCGTAACACTTGGATTGGTGGACAAAAAGGTCTTTTTATTTCTTCAGTTTTCGAAAAAAAAAAGAAAAAAAGAAAAAAAGGAAATTGCATAGAGTTAATAAAAAAATTTCCTTTTAATATGTAATTTTAGTTTCTAACTTTGGAGATGGATGAGTTAAGATTTGAGATTTGTAAACTCATGTTATTTTGAACTACATTCTCTTTTATTTATATTCGGACTTTGTAATATTGTTAAGATTTGAGATTTGTGAACTCATGGATATGTAATATTATGTGTTTTGACATCATTTTTGTTATATTTTATAAATTTTATTGTTTAAGAAGTTAGTTTCAATTGTTTTTTTACAATTTGGTAGAATCTTACAATTCACGATCCGATTCTACGATTCCGATTTTACAGAGCCCAAAACGATTCTGCGTAGAATCCCGATTTTAACAACCTTGGTGTAAATGAATCCCGCTGAAAAACAAACATAGAAGATCTCCTTTACTTTAATCAATTATCCCACTCATAAAACTCAACAAGAATCAGGCCACTAATGACTGCAATAATCAATCTTTGAAAACTAAAAATGATGAAATAATATAATTGAAAATTCTAAAAATCCAGGTTGTGATCACAAGAATCACATGGGGTCTCTAATATATACAATATTAGTATAAGATTTTAATTTCTTTATTCCCCTCACTCTATATCCTTTCAATGGAAAAAAACAGCAATCTCCATCTCGAACTCTTCTTCAGTAGAAGTTGAGGAGGAGAGCGATGAGTTCCAAGAGTTAGTCCAGTGTAAGGACCCAAAAATTCTAATACAATAATCATCAAATTACATAAAAAAATCTTCCGGAATAAAAAATAAAAACAATCTTCATAATAAAAAAATCCTCATATATATATAAGAATTCAAAGCCCTAAAATCCAAGTTTAAATAATCTCCAAAATTGACATAAAAATTCTGAAACACAGCTCCACCCCTAAGCCTGCAACTAGGAATCCCCGATTCTCTTCGGTACCTGAAACTGGAGGGTGGTGAGACGGAAAGTCCGAGTAGGAAAAATCATAACAAGAATTTCTAGGAGGTTTGATGAAAATCAGCTTCATAAAATATACATATGTTTTTAAACAAAAATACATATATGTAATTTGAGCAAAATAATAGTCTAGCAAAATATTTGAAGCAAAATCACTCTAAACCATTCAAGATATAGAGAACCCTACCTATAAAAATAATTTTCCTCACTGGTTCTGCAAAATCTCAAACTCTCGACCTTCTCTACATCTATCGGTCCTCTTTGAACTCTTTCCTTTCCTTTTTGCCGGCCCGTCCCATTTTTCTTCTTTTAATTTCTTTGCCTCCTTGGACACTATCTCACTAATCAAACAATATAGACACACATACACATATAATATATGACTAAAACAAAATCCACCTTCGTTGTAAATGTATTACACTAAAAAAACAAACACATAAGGCAAACTGTAACTCATCTATCCCTCTCCTCCATTATCTAAACAATATAAAATAATAATAAAATCCCAGAAATCAAGTTTTCTTAAACAACAATCCCACCCATGTGAAATAAACAAAAGGATAAAGCTAACATAATAAAATAATAAAACAAAATTTCCTCCACTTTAATCAATTAACCGACTCATAAAACTTTACAAAAATCAGCCCACTAATGACTCCAATAATCAATCTTTAAAAACTAAAAATGATAAGAAATAATATAATTTAAAATCCTAAAAATCCACATGAAGGGTCTCTAATATATACCTTATTAGTTTAAGATGTTAATTTCCTTATTCCCCTCTCAGTACTCTCACTCCATATCCTTTCAATGTAAAAAACACTAATCTCCATCTCGAACTCTTCTTCAACAGAAGTTGAGGAGGAGAGAGATGAGTTCCAAGAGTTAGTCTAGACTCTTCAAAGAGAGAGAAACTGGGATGGGACTTATTTCTATCAGTATCAAGGCTTTTGGTGTCCATCTTCAATCCTCAAGCCTGTGATCTCTTTTCAACAACACTTCCAAACACAAGACGCCGACATAATACTCTGCAGTGTCCCAGAGTCAGGCACCATTTGGGCAAAGGCTCTCGGTACACCACCGTGAATCGGAGCCTTTACCCTCCCAAAGACAGCCCATTGCTCACCCAAGGACCTCGTGATCTCATTCCATTCTTCGAGTTTGAGCTTTACAACGAAAACCAGTTCCCTAACCTCGAAACCCTTCCTTGCCCTAGAATTTTTTCTACCCACTTGCCCTATGCATCACTCAATAATTCCATCAAGGAGTCCAAGCACTGTCGGATTGTGTACGTCTGCCGGAACCCGATGGACCAAATCATATCCCAGTGGCACTTCATGTCCAAGCTCCGGCGTGGAAATGTGGATCCGCTTCCGTTTAAAGATGTTTTGCGCGGGAAAGCAGAATTTTGGACCATTTTGGGACCATGTGTTGGGGTACTGGAATGCGAGCTTAGAGACGCCGCACAAGGTGTTGTTTCTGAATTATGATGATCTGAAGGAGGACACCACATTTCATCTCAAGAATTTAGCTGAGTTCTTGGGATGTCCATTTAGTTTGGAGGAAGAGGAAAAAGGGGTCGTAGAGGAAATTATAAAGTTGTGCAGTTTTGAGAATCTGAAAGACCTGAGCACAAACAAGACTGGCAAAAGGCCTTACTATTTCAGAAAAGGGCAAGTAGGAGATTGGGCTAATTATATGACACCTTCCATGGTTGAACATTTGGAGGTAGTCGTGAAAGAAAAGTTCAGTGGGCCTGGTTTAAGTTTCAAGGTCTAGCTATATATAGCTCTTTCAAGGTCTTAAGGCGCCCCTCCAAATAAATGATTTACGTTTTTATTAATAATAGAGAGCGGAGAATTTGGAAAGTATTAATTGAGTGGGATACCATATGTCAACTTCTGAAGTATTGTAAAACTGAGTTTGTTTGTTAATTGGATTAATAAATGAACAAAATTCTTCTAATTTCAATTTATATTTAAAATAATTTTGTTGGTGTTACAATCCCTTCATTTACTTCCTATTTATGTTAAACGTATCCTTGTTTTATGCTTCAATTTGATTGTAATGGATCATTCCCCACTCCTATATATTGATATATGTTTTGCATTAATTCATTTTTGTTACTAATTCGTGAGTTCTAAGTGCTTCAATTTTACTGGAATAAATATTGAAACATATGTATTACTTTGTCAAAAGAAAAAAAAAATTACTTCTGTTCCTTTTCATAAGGCTTCTAAATTTGCATTTATGTCAATTTAACCTGTGGTTTTGCGGACGCTTTCTGTTAAGCGATGGTTAATGTTTTTTCAACCATGCACATGTTGCTCAGAGTGCACTAATAAGCCTATATTTTTATAACTTAATTCAATAAAAATAAATTTTTTAATATCAAATTTTAATGATATTTAGTGAATTTGTAAGATTATTTAACACAAATAATAACCTAGTGATGAATTTTAAGTCACTTTCATTGTTAAAGATGCTTGGTATTTATACTTATGAAATTAATAAATGATAATAATTTAAGTATGAAATAAATGAAAACTCATGGCATATCACATGGAAAACACGAGAAGAGAATTTGTATTTATTTGAAGAAATTGATTTGTATCAAATAAAGAAAGTATTTCTTTTGCGATCCTGGATGAATACTGATATATTTGGATTTGATTAAATTGAGGAATTTTATTTAGAAAATTCGGGTCGTGACAAAACATACGTATAATCTAAAGTTTTGCAAGTCTTTATAAGTTGATATAAATCAATTCATGTGATTCATGCCACCTAAAATTTATGTCCAAGGTGAGACTAAGGAATCATCCTAAGATACATTAGAACATCCTCATCATAAACTATAATAAATAAGCAATTAAATAACATTGAAACATCAAATACCAAACAACAAAATATAAATTTACAAGGTAAACAACTTAGAATTGAAATGCGAAATTAAACAAGTGGAAAGACTAGGACATGCAGTCACAAGATCGAGCAAGTTGTTTTAGGTAATTACGACCCTTAAGGAACAACCTAGTGGGCACTTGTGATTAAGGAAGACTCTTGTTCCCGTATTAGTGCCGAGCCCTAACCATCACATAAATTTATGTCCTTACAAGCTTTCCAAAATTAACAAAATGCCACACACAATCAAGATATGGGAGCACACATATACGTCCTCAACTATTATGACATGTAAAACAAATAAGCCTTGAAAATATCAAAAATGCAAATAAATCATAAATTAATTAAATAGAAACTAATTAAACAAAAATTAATTAATTTGTCTAGATTGCAAAATATCACCAAATGACAAGATATTGACACATATTAAGCAACATACCATGATTAACACAAATATCAAATCAAAAATTTAATTAAGCCACTAAAACACTTAATTAATTTTTAATTAACCTAATTAATTAAAAATCTCTGGATTTCAAAAATCATCCAAAAATTTCAAAAATAATACTTGATGAACAATAAGTCATAGGCTCTCCAAATATCATATTCTTAATTAAATCTAAGCATGCTTCAACTATGAAATTAAATCATCATTTAATTAAAATAAAAATTATTTCTAGATATAAACTTTAAACACGCGTACAAGTTATATAAACCTCAAAAACATGTAAAACACTAAGATTATAAACATGAAACACCCCTACCTTACTTTGAGATAAAAATCTCAAATCACACCAAAATCAAACTTCACCAAATGCGACGAAATTTCGGGGTTATAATGGGGACAATAAGGAGACTAAGAAATCCTCTTGTGACAACACTCAAATCCAAGCTTGACCTTACATCCCAAAAATCAAAGTGCGGCAAATCGAAAACCGATCGGATAGAAATCACCGCGTTGTCGAGGACATAAAAAAAGTCTTAATCAGGAAGAGGAGAATCATAGAGGAAGAAGATGAAAAGAGGAGAAAGAAGATGGCAGCCCAAGGTCCTTCAATGGCAGTTGCCGCTGCTGTCTTGAGAAAGTGAAAAAGCAAAAATGACTTTCTCTCTCATCCACCTACCCTAAATAGGTCAAAAGGTGTCCCGAACAGTCCGAACGGGTCCCGTCTGGGTCCAAAAAGTGAAAACTGTCAAGACGCACTCAAATGAAGAAGGTCCGTGAACTAAAAAGTTTTGAAATGTAATTCTAAGATCAACGGAAGAAACAGAGTCAAAAATCGAGTCCTTAGCGAAGAGATATGCTTCGGACAAGTTTGACGACTACCGGGTTTGAAAATTCAAAATAAATGAAATAAAAATTCAAAAAATATTCTGAAAGTGTCAAAGTCCATAAAAAGTGAAAAGAAACCCACCATGAAGGTTTGAACCCAAAACCATAAATTTTTCCAAAAACTTTCCAAAATTACACAAAGACGCCTCCACTAGAGAACTCAAAAAGTGAATTTTCCAAAAAAACACAAAATGATGTGCCATTCAAAAGATACATTTAAAAGAACCTTAAATACAAAATATCGCCAAAATATAATTGCTCAAAATACCCAAAGTAAATAAAACAATTTTCAAGAATCTTTGCATTTATATCCCTACCGGCAAAAGTAAATATCTAGCATGCTTTTCTACAAAAGTAAAAATGTGCAACACATGGGAATCAAGTAAAATGAGTGAATGCAAGGCTGGAATCAAATCCGAGCACGACTCGATAGGTTATGCAAAATGAAAAGATAGTGAAATAACGAAAAAAGAAAACTTGGAAAATGAAATCAACGGAAAAAAAATATCTGTAAAATTTTAGAGAATGAAAAGGAATGAAAATGACCGGGTCATTACACTAGTCGTGGTCACTCTTTACAACAAGGGCATTTTCAATCTTTTCATCCTCAATCTCAGAGTCGTGGTTTTGGTCAGAATGCCAATCGATACATGGGAAAATGTCAGATTTGTCGTCTCCAAGGACATAGTGCTACTACATGCTCTTTTCGATTCGATCAGAACTATAATCCTCGCCAAGTACAATAATCATTTGCAGCTATGAACATTCATAGTCATGCGCCTTCCTCCCTTGCCCATTCTTAATATATGTCATCTCTGTATGATTCATCTTGGTACCCGGATACTGGTACAACTAGTTATATGACTGCATATATGTCTCTTATTAAACAACCCACAGAATATACAGGCTCGAATAATGTTATGTTCGGAAATGGTGTCACCCTTCCGATCTCTCACACTGGTATCTCTCACACTGGTAACATTTATCTTCACAATTCTAATTTTAAGTTTCAACTTCAAAGTGGTTTATGTGTTCCTGTTATTCAAAAGAATTTATTGTCTATTGCACAATTTACTAAGGATAACAATTGTTCTTTTCACTTTTTCCCTTCCTATTATTGTGTTAAGGATCTCACCACGGGGAAAGTTCTTCTTCAAGGACCAGTTAAGGGTAATCTCTACCCACTCCACCTCTCCGCTAAATATCATCTCCATAAGATTGATTTCATCAGTTCAAAGGCTACCTCAGCAGTATGGCATAATCGTTTGGGACACCTGGGATCTAGGATTCTTGCTTCTCTCTCTTCAAATAAATATTTAGACATTTCTGGTTCATTGGATACCAATTTTATTTGTTCTGCTTGCCAACTGGGAAAAAGTAAGAAATTACCTTTTGGTTCTTCTAATCGATGCTCTCCCCATCCATTATATTTAATTCATTGTGACATTTGGGTCCCTACACCAGTCTCATCTGTTTCAGGTTTTCGTTATTATATTGTTTTTATTGCTGACTTTAGTCGCTATGTGTGGATTTATCCAGTGAAAGCTAAAAGTGATAGTGCAAGTTGTTTTCTTCATTTTAAAAGAATGGCTGAAAATTTATTATCCACCATGATTAAATATTTTCAAAGTGATGGTGCTTTAGAGCTGACGAAGGGTGCTTTCAAGTTTATTCTTGATGAGTCTGGTATCATTCCTCGTGTCTCTTGCCCCCACACTTCACAGCAAAATGGTGTTTTTGAGTTTAAGCATCACCATATCACTGAGATGGGCCTCTCTTTTATGTTTCATAGTAATATGCCTAAGCAATTATGGATGGAAGCATTCACTACTATAGTGTTTCTCATTAATCGACTCCCAACTCATATGCCAGGCTTTCGATCTCCTCACGAGATCCTCTTCAAAGAGAAACCAGATTATAACATTTTTTGAACTTTTGGTTGTGCTTGTTATCCATACTTGGGTCCTTATAGGCAAGAAAAACTGAGTCCCAAGACAATTCGGTGTGCCTTCTTGGGCTATAGCGGTCCTCACAAGGGTTATCGCTGCTTGGATATTGCTACTGGTCGAATCTATATTTCTTGTCATGTTGTCTTTGATGAGATTCGCTTCCCTTTTGCAGACTTTGGCTCTTCTACATCTATCAAAGACTTTATTCAACACCGGGTTGAAATACCTATACCAATACCACCAACTCCGGATTCTTCAATTGAATCCACCACAGTCTTTGTCTCCACAAGTCTCTTCATTAGCTCAACAACCATCACTCGGACCTCCAACTAGTACTCCAGTACTGCTTTAAACAGTCCTTGATCATTTTGTTGTACCTTTCGAGCTCTCTAATGTGCCTGCAATCTCACAGCTACCTTCATCCACTTCCACTCACCCAATGGTCACTCAGCTTAAGGATGGCATTGTGAAACCTAAACATCGTTCTTATGTTCTCTCTAAGCATCATCTTCCAGAGGCTTTCCTTACCTCTCTACAATCCACTCCACTTATAGAACCATCTACATATAAACAAGTTTCTCAAGATCTAAACT